TTATTTTAGGCACTTTAAAATAATTTTTTCATTAGCAACAGATAGCGGCAAACCTGAAATAAAAGAATCTCTGAAAAAAATTTGGAATTTCTTATAAGCTTCAGGTTTAACACTGTAAAAACAAAGTAGTACTGGGTATTAATAACACGCGCAAGCGAGTTATTTTTTAAACAAAAGAATTGATGAGTTCTACAAGGTTAAAGGTCAGTCATCCTCTTAAAAAAACACGTGGACAAGATGGACCAAAGACTCTTTTAAACATTGCCACCAAAAAATGTTTTATAACGCTTTTTTTCATTTTATTCAAATGTCCTGTTTCGAAGCAATTCTATCCCACTGCGCGATGTAACAAAATCGAAATGCTTGAAGCTCAACAATTATTATCGACATATTAGATAAAAGACAAAATGACAAAAAAATAGCACAAGTTGCTAAGTTTACTTACAGCTATGATTGTCTTTAAAAGTTTTTAAAAGTTTTGAAATCTCTTTTTCAAAACATCAACACTATCTTTGCTCAACGTAAGCCTCGATTTTTTGTTCACGCAAACACGTCAGATTGAAAAAATGATTTATTTACAATTTATTTAAGAGAATTTACTATTAATAAAATTTTCTTTCGTTGAGAAATGGCATCAAAATCCGCAGTAAGAGCTAAAGATTTGTTTCGTCTGTAAGATTGGCACAGGTTTTCACAATATACTATTACATAAATACCACAATCGTAACCTGCGAGAGGACATAATTATAGAAGATTAAAAATCGATAAAACTATATAAAATTAAAAAAAAATTCTAGTATGTTTTAAAGTAGAATTTTTATTTTATAAATTTAAATATTCAATTTTTTTAAAACTTACTATTCGACTGTTGTGGACAATCTACATTAACAAATTGAAAAGAAGCGCTACCTAAAAATAGTCAAATAAAAGCAATTTAAAAAACAAATAATAAGATAAATACATAAACCAGTAACAAAAAAATAAAAAATAAAATTAAGTATAAATTATCAAAAACTATTAAGGACAATCTATAAAATAAAAAATTTACTTTCTATTGATGAAAAAATTTTATGCGCAAGAATTTCAGCATTTCTTAAATTAAATGTATGAGCGCTGTCGTAGTGATAAAAAATTCCATTCCAGATTACGAGAAGGCTCCTATAAATAATAAAAGACTTTTTTTCAACTACAAAAAACTGGTTAACACCGTGTCAACGACGCAAAACATTTTTTTAAATAAATTGATTTTGATTATTGATCATAATATTACAAATAATATGATAATAATAATATAAATTAATAATAATACAAAATGTAACAAATAAAAAAAAAAAAAATTATTGTTTTTCAGTTAAACTATATTCAAAGGCGTACGCTCTCTCTCTCTCTCTTTCTCTCTCTCTCTCTCTCTCTCTCTCTCTCTCTCTCTCTCTCTCTCTCTCTATATATATATATATATATATATATATATATATATATATATATATATATATATATATATATATAAATACCTATTGCATCATGTGCAGCGTTAGATATTTCTACATAAGAACTGTAATCTCTGGTGATTTTAGATAACATGATATGGTTTTCTAAAAGATGGTTTTCTAATATGAAGATGTTTAATATTCACAAAGCACAAAGTTTTTTTGTGGAGATAATTAAATTTAATAATATTTAAATATATTCCTAAACTTTAATAATATAGTATTATAATTGCATTATGTGCTAAATTGGATATTTTTGCATATGAACTTTAAAGTTCTTATGCAAAAATATCCAACTTAGCACATAATGCAATTATAATACTATATTATTAAAGTTTAGGAATATATTTAATTATTATTATATTTAATTATTTCCACAAAAAAACAAAAAAACTTTGTGCTAAATGTATTGCAGACATGTTTAAGTGTTTAAACATTATATTAAATATAATTAACACTATAATATAAATATAATTAACAAAACTGCAAGAAAAACAGAAAATAATTTTGAAAAAAAGTTTTTGATCTAACTCTGTTTTAAATTAAGCAACATCTATTCAAAGGAATCAAAAAACTGTAATTAAAACTTATAATTTTTACAGGCAACCAAAAGAAAGTTGGGAACTTTATAAATTTATAAAAACTTTTAAATTTATAAAAATAAACTTAAGATAGTTTGAATCTCATTTAAATAAAAAATTAATTTGATTCTCATTTAAATAAAAAATAACTAAATTTTCATGAGAAATCAATGATCACCAGTGTGTTCCACCAGATGCTAAAGGTGACTCATTGTTATTGACTACAAAGAAAATCAATTTCTTCTTACTCAGCTCCAATGGCTCAAGAAAGATGGCAACCTCTTCACTTGCTAAAAGCAATTCATCATAGTTTTATCTGACAAAAACACATCACAACATCAACAAGAATTTAATTCAAAACAAAAAACAACAAATTTTACAAGTAGAGAAAAAATGTGAAAAATTTAAATGTAAGTTTTTTTGATAAACAACAAGATCTATCATAAACGTAAAGTTTTCTATAATGCTAAAAACATTAAATATAACAAAGCTATATACAGATTTGTCTGCGAATTTTAGGACTTTTTTTAATTGTTAAAAAATAGAAAAAGATATAATTTATAACACATGTCAGGGGCTATTCTAGACCATTTTCGACAGTTTCAACCGTATGTGGGCAGCAATTTGGAGCCACCCAAATTCAGATATTGAGGACCTTTTTTTTTTTAAAGTTTTTTTTTACATCAGATATCGCTTTTTTCGCGAAAAAATGCCTACATGCAACAAATTTCTTAACTTAATTAATTGGGGGTACTATCGCCCAAAATATTTTCCTAGTATAGCCCCTGCATGTATACATTTTACAAGCCAAAATAAAAAATAAAAATTATTAAAAATATTAAAAAAAGTTAGATGAAATAATAAAAAAATAGTAAAAAAATCATAAATGAAAACTAATTTTTTGATTCAATCTGATTCTCTTCTCACACAAAGAAATCAAATTTATGCGCTGACACACACAGTTACATTTTATTATACAGTACTGCAATACCCCAATAAAATGCCAAAATTACCCAAAACAAATATTACTCACAACAAATAGTTAAAACAATCTCTTTAAAAAATCTTTATGTATACAATGCTAACAAAAGTAACCTGCAAAGTCATATAGCATAATTAAAACTAATGCAATTACGAGAAATCCAAATAAATATTTTTAAACATCTCTTACTTTTAAGAATTCGAAGGTCATCATGCAATAATATGTTGCACACTTAAGTATTAAAAAACTAATTAGGTAGTTTTTTTTTTAAAAAAAAAGAAAGATTTTTTTGCTGTAATTATATTTTGTTATGGCTTTATTCTAATTTTATTTGTTTTATTTGTATGCATGTATGAATGCATGTATATATTTAGTCTTTTTTTTGTCTTATTTTTGCATTTTATTCTTAATAAAAAAAAAAACAGCAAAAATGTTTAAAAAAGTGAAGATTATTCATCAATTTTTTTATTGAACAATAAAAAAGTCAACTTTATCAAACCATAAAAAAGTCAACCAGTGAAAGCACTAAATAGTTAAATTTTTTTGACTATTCATAGTCTTAATTTTTGAAATTAAAGAAAAACATGGTACTTCTAGTGACATGGTGTAGATAAGCGATTTATTACTATCACTTGTCAGAGCTGTTTATAAATATTGAAATGCAATAAAAATAGAAATTACACATTTTTTTTTACAGGGTAATAAAATGGCTCTAATTCTAGTTGCTGAGCAACTTTGTGTTACTAAGAACATAGTGTAAATACAATATTTTAAAGTAAATATAATAATGGCTAATAATATAAACAACATTTTAAAATATTTTGATGCTAATAATAAAATTTTAACATTCAACACTTGAACATTAAAATGTTATTTAGTTACAATGGTAAAATATTATTTAAGTGCAATAAAAAATTATGAAATTTTTATGCTAAATTATTTATGTAACAGAAACTTACTTTTGACAAGTTTGACAAACTGTGAAACTTCAGGAGATACAAAACCAATTTCTTGTGATAAATCATTAAACATTTCATGTTCAAAATACCTAAACATTTGGTTTCATATATTTGTGATACTTATAAAAAAAATGTAAAAATTTCTATATAATAATTTCTATAAAAGAATAATTTGCATAAAATGATCCATAATTTTTCACAAACAAATTAGGAAATGGTAACTAGAATGTGAAAACAAATTAGGAAATGGTAACTAGAATGTGAAAACAAAGTAGGAAATGGTAACTAGAATGTGAAAACAAATTAGGAAATGGTAACTAGAATGTGAAAACAAATTAGGAAATGGTAACTAGAATGTGAAAATGTAAATACAGATTTACATTATTTTACAAAAATAACTTAACATCATTTTATAATAAGTTTTTTTCAAGAAAGGTCAATTTTTTTCACCTGAAAACTGTAGACCCATCAATACTTCCAACTTTATCAAAATTATAAGAAAAAGCAGTTCACATTTAAATTATAAAATATCTTGACCTATTATAAAAGTACCAGTTTGGGTATAGAAAAAAATATTACTGTTAGATGATATCCAGAAACAATGTAAACAATGGCAAAGTTAGGGGAAACAGAATGATTATTTAGGGGTTATCAGAATAATTCTGTAACCAGACTTGAACCTCTTCTTCATCTATTAGGCTGAAGTATGTGTAACCCTGTGTTACATTGTTTCCTTCCTAGGATGATGAATGCAGGGTCTTCTTGATAATCATAGATTTTTGCTTAAGCATTCTTAATAATGGCTATGCAACTCTTTCTAGTATTTTCTTAATCAGGAAATAGCTCTAAAGCTCAGTTAAATGGTTCTAAGGCCGGCTAGTAAAAAGGTTTCCTAAAACTTTGTGGTAACTCTCAGACAGGGTGACTCCATCAACAGCTGATAAATATCAGAGTATTAAAATACTGTCTGATGTTAAGCTCCATTATTCTCAGTTTATTAAATCTCTTATCTTGTCTCAGAAATAAGGCACTAGAAAGGCACTAGAAACATTTGGAAAATCCTCAATTCGTCATTAACATAATGGCAAACTATGGTAAGTGCTTGACTGAATCTTGTTTTCCTGCATGTTGAAAAATGACATCTGTGGTTTCAATTTTTAAAAACTCTGGAGAACATTCTGATCATCTTGATCTTCTCATTCTATTGCTGACTTTCAAATTGCTGTGCCTGAAAGATTTTATTGTCAATTGGATGAAGGCAGCAAGGAAAGCAGTCTCCTCCATTTAAAATTTAATGACACAAAAAAAGCACTAGCAGGAGGTACCAGGAGGTCATTTTTAAGTTAGCCTGCGCAACTTTAAAAATTCTTATTTTTCTGCTATTCAAATTAAAATAAAAATAGCAAAAAGAATGCTTTGAATAAATACTAGATAAAAAAAAGAAGCTATTTTTCTTTAAAGTTGAACTAACTAACAAAAACAATTTAAATTTAAAACAAAATTGCAATTTAAAACAAAACGCTTTTTTTTTTCTTCTTGCAAATGCGCTAGCTAAATGGAGAAGACTGGGTAACGCCTACTGCTCTTGACATATCTTAAGCTTTTTTATAAACTTTAACATGTTGGTTTTCTCCATAGGCTTGTTCATACGGTATATCTGGGAAAGTTTTTGTGATTATCAATTCATTACTTTTTAACTGCTTTATTAAAATCATCCTTGAAGCCCAACACTCCTTTTTTATTTTCAGTAACTTCTGAGTAACTTAAGGTTTTTTTCTTGTTCCTGTTTTGTTTCCTATCTACATTAATGATTTTCCTGACAACCTTACATACAAAGTGGCTCTATTTGCTGATGACTCAACTTTATACTCCTGTCTTGACAAAAAGTCTTCTCTTTTCTTCTTCTTTTTCGATCGTTTAGAACAGACAGACTATCTTGAATTTGATCTCACTTCTGTAACAGATTGGGACTTGCAGCTTGTTAATTTTGATTCCTATAAAACTCAGCTATTTACTGCTAACAACTATCGCAATAGTGTCAGCATTCCTTTATCGATGAATAGTAACCCTCTTGTTGAGTCCTCTTCTTCACATCTCCTTGGATTATTGTTCACTACTGACCTCTCATGAAAACCATATATACAATCAATTGCTAAGTTAGCATCTGCTAAGGTTGCTTCTCTTTATCGTGCTTACCATTTTGTTACTCCTGATTTTATTCTCTACCTTTACAAATCTTTTATTTGTATGGAATACTGTTATCATAATTGGGATGGTTCTTTTAATGATGCTCTCTCTCTTCTAGCAAGGTCCGAAAAACCTCTCTGCCATTGGTGTAAAGTTGCGTCTCTCTCTTTTCTAAAAAATACTATTATGGTTGCTGCTCAAAAGAGCTATTATCTCTAGTTCCATTAACCAAAACTTTTTCTCACTTGATTCAGCTAAGTTTCATCCTTTTAGTGTATCTAAAAACTTTCATTCATCTAGTTTTATTCCCGTACTTCAACTCTTTGTAACTCTCTCCCATCTTTATGTTTTTCTGACTCAAACAACCTATAACTTTTCAAGTCAAAAATCTAGAGCTTTAGAACGATCTCTAGATTTGGAGTAAAATAAATTAAAAGTCAAAATAAATTAAAAGTATAATAAGTTAAAATAATATGATACAAAATTATATGCTTGCCTTGTTTGTGTATTAGATTCATCTCTGTTATTAAATAAAAATTTCAAAAACAAAAAAGTTTCTAGTTGTTTGGGGCTTTTATCATAGAAAAGGCCCAACAAGACTTAAATCAGATACAACATTTACTATTTATCAATAAACAATATTACTAACCTTAACTTATAGCAGTACCATAAACATGCATTTGACTCAAATCAATCCTCTAAACTTGGAGAATTGAGCAAATGAAACTATTGAAGTGCAAACAGTTTCTTATTTTTTTTCAATTAAAAAAAAATGCAAAGAAAAAAAAATCCTTCAATTATTAATACAATCAATGTATCTTTTGAAAATTCAAACTTGAATTTTCAAAACCATCATTTTATAATATGGGTGCTAGATTTAAAATGATCTCGCAATAAGAAATTATAATGAAAATGGTTTTAAAGTTTTGTTAAAGAAGCAATTTTTTGTAATTTGAAAATTATATTTGTATTTTTATATTTATTTTTTATATTTTAACTTTTAATAAGTTTTTTTTTTGGAACAGGATGCACATTGATAGCAATTTTCCATTGAAGTGAATATATATATATATATATATATATATATATATATATATATATATATATATATAATATTTCTTGTATAAACATTACTAATAATAATATGTCATAGACAGCAACAAATTCAATCAAAACTAAATTAAAACTTACTCAAACATAAAGCTTATAATTCTGTCATTAAGCCATTCTTTGTTGCTAAGCAAATGAATATCATCAGATTCTAAGTAACTGTTATGGTAACTTATAATGCTCATTTTATTTATATCTAAAATGTTTTATTATTCAAGATTAAAAACACATAAATAGTAAAAACCAATAAAAGTGATTTTGTTTATATTTCATTTGACGGGTGTTAAATTAAATTTCATTTGAGGGCATTTGCTGTTATCGAATAGTGTGTATTGTTTCTTGTTTAAAGGAAGCTTTCTGTTTTTATGAGTGTGTATATGGTGGGGATGGGGTTGTGGGCTATATACAAAACTATAAAAGCACATTAATACTCTGATGTCATATTAATTTTGGGAGTTGTTATGGTTCATTATTATTAATTCACATTAACACCTTGATGTCATGCTAATTTTGGGAGTTGTTAAAGTTTCAGTACATATATTACCTAATACAAGAAAAATATGCAGCAGAGTTGCTGCATCAATTGATGGTTTGGATCAGAGAATAATTTTTTTCATTATTCTTTCTATTTTTATGAATTTTAAGTAGGCAAAAAGTGTACTATAGAGTATATATATTTTTTTACTGACCTAAATCCACAAGGTTTTTAGGAAAAAGAAGAAAAATAATAATAAAAATGATGATTGCTTCCACAACCCAACCCATATATATATATATATATATATATATATATATATATATATATATATATATATATATATATATATATATATATATATATATATATATATATATATATATATATATATATATATATATAAGCATGTCATCAAGTGATGATCTTTTATATTTTGAAATACATTTAAAAAACTCACACACCAAATAAGTTATATTTAATTTATTGTTTTGTCATTTATCACATGGGTTTTTTTAAATAATAAATTGTAGAGGGTAATTTGATTTGCTATACCTCTCATTGGAAATTATATCATTGTTATGATTTGTATTATCTATTCTTTGTTTGAATAAAAGTATATTGTAGATATTAATACTATATTTTATTTAACAATGTATACTTTATGTATGAAAAAATCCAAGCCAAAAAGTGTTATACACATATCAAATAGTAATTTTGTTTAGTGACTTTTTACTAGTAATTTAATATAGGGTGTTTTAAACTTTTTTTTTAAATATTAAATTGGATTTTTTATGATTCAGTTGTGTTTTCAGAATCAAAAACTATTTTCTGCTACTTAAAAAATAAGTTCTAAATACAAAATTCCTTCAAAATATGATAAGATAATTGACTTTTTAAATATTTTATACCCCAAATATACACACTTAAACATACATAATATACACACTTACACTTAAAAAATATACATTAATATTTATTGGTTTTTGTGTATGTGTGTGTGTGACTATATATATATATATATATATATATATATATATATATATATATATATATATATATATATATATATATATATATATATATATATATATATATATATATATATATATCTACCTTAGGAATTAAGGTCAGCATTCGGCAATGCCGATCCAACTGCCAACCATAAACTGTTTGACATCAGCAAATAATTGCCAACCTCATTTTTATGTTTTATAGTCTACATCAGGTCGACAAATTTTTTTGCCAACCTGATGCCGACCTCTAAAAGATTGAGGTTGGCAAATTATAACATAATATGACAAATAATATGAAAAATCAGGTAAACTGATATTGTCTCCAATATCTCTGAAAAAAACCCAGAAATTTTAATATTCAAATAACACCCCAGCTATTATTTTCTTATTACCATTTCTTGACCAAAGATTTTTTCTCAACTTATTTCATAACCTTCTCTGATGACTGCCATATAGATTACTAGTAGAGTTAGATACAGGAAAAAAAAACAGCTCAGCATTGCTCAACTGTCCATTATTTTATCTTTCTCTTAAAAGTATTTATGGAGGGTTTATATTTACTAAGACTGACAACTGACTGATTACAAGTTTGTTTCTTTATTTATTCAGAGTACTCATTCTGATGATGAAATGTTTTGAACTTTAATTTTGTTGAAGAAAGTTTTTTTAAGGATCATCAGACTTCCTTGTAGCATATCCCACTCTACCAGATATCTGGTTCGTATATGCATTTTAGTATATCCAACTCTACTAGATATTGCTTTAAATAGATATATAAATTTTCAGAATGCAATCAAAGTCTATCCTTCATTGTTTTATTTAATAAACCATCACAAATATTAGTACCTAATTTATATTTATATCTTTTTAATCAATTTTTTTTCCTTGGCATTGATCTTTTGTCTATTGTTGGAAAATTCATTTAAATAAATATAAGCCCATAGTTTTAAAGTTCATCTGAAATTTTCTTTATTCATTTTTTAACACTCTGGTACAAGGCTGGTAACAGTTTATGATTTGCCAATTTGTTAGCATTTTACATATTTAACCTAATGATTCATACACAAAATATACATTGTTTAAATAAGATGTAGTATAAATATACTTTTATACAAGCAAATAATAAATTTATTATTTAAAAAAACCCATGTCATAAATGACAAAGCAATGTCACTGACAATGCTTTTATTTTGAAAATTAAATTATAACTCATTTGGTGATTTGGCGTGTAAATTAAAAAAATATATATATAATGATATCTGAAACTATTGTCTTTTCCAAATATAAAAAAAGTTCATTACTTGATGACATGCTTAATTCATAATCTTAAAATTACTTTTATTTTATATCCCTAATATATATATGCTTTAATTTTTTTTTTCTGAAATAACCATACAGATTTAGGTTGGTAAAAAATATCTTATATTTTAATATCTTATTATATATTATATATATATATACATATATATATATATATACATATATATATATATATATATATATATAATATATATATATATATATATATATATATATATATATATATATATATATACACACACACACATATATATATACATATATATATATATATATATATATATATATATATATATATATATATATATATATATATATATATATATATATATATATATATATATATATATATATATATATATATATATATATTAGTAAGTGACAAGGGCCCCAGCCCCAACTAAAAATGAGACTTTTTACAAACCCCGTCTCAGCCTCAGTTTGTCAAAATTATAAGGTTTAGCGGGGGTTGATAGCCAGAGCTAGAAAAATATTTATAATACTATATATATTATAATTTTATGCTTACATTTACTATTTATTAAGTACTGGCATACATTTACATATTTTTAAATTTACTTCCAACAAGATTGCATGCAACCACTATTAAGTTATAAGTTACTTTAAAATAGAGAATAAGGTAAAATACTTAGAAACATATAACTTTTCAAGTCTAAACATATAAACATATAAGACTTAAAAAGTTGTAAGTTGTATAAAAAAGGAAAACATAAAGATAGGTCAGAGTTATAAGGTTTTTTTGAGGTTCAAGGAGAAGAACTTGATTAATTATCATGCTATAAAAAGTTTTTACAGCATGAAGGGACAAATACAGTAAAAGGATGTAACTTGTTGAATAAAAAGCAAAGCAAAAATGAGTTTTGGTTTATCATTAGATAGATGATAGCTCATTTGAGAATTGATCATGATTGTATTTGTAGAAAAAAGAAAGAAATGCAACCTTCCAACGATGGAAAAGTGGCTTAAGCTTGGCAGATAAAGCAAGTCAAATTACATTTACAATGTGCTTTTAGACTTTGTCTGAGAGTAAGAGGGCTGTTATTCGTCAATATAGGAATGCCAACAGTAAATAAATGAGTTTCATTGTTTAAAAACTCTGCTTTATTCTGAGGAGAAGTGAAAAGATCAGACCCATAAATTAAAGATTAAATATTAGACTTGATTTAGTTAATCACACTGTTGAAGACTAACCAAAAATTTCTAGAACCTAACATCTGAGATAAGATACAAGATTTAGAGAATAACAGAGCTTAACAACAGACAGGACTTTTTTACATTAGCTTATCGCAATAATAAAAGGACATTTGTTGTAAAAAAAGAAATTCTTGTAAAAAAGATGAAAAAAATTATTAATGTTGAAAAATGTGGAATAGAATGAGGCTTGACTTAAAATTGAAGAGAAGTAATAAAAGCTTCAAAATAATATTCCAAAAGGAATAAAAGCTTCCAAGATGCACTTTTTGCATACATATTATTGATACAAACATATCTGTTAACTATTTATTTAGATGCTGGCATACAATATACTTTCAAATTTACATAAGCTTTAGTATTTATATGGTGTAGTATTTTCAGAAAGAGATGATCAAATGAATGTGTGACTCTAGCAAGACAAGAAAAAATGACATAAACTTAGACAGATTAGAAAAAACATTGTATCGAACAATGTTTGTTAGAAAAGATTAAAGTAATTTAGGTATCAGCATGTAGAGAGGTAGTAGCTTCAGTAGAAAACGGTGTGGTATAAGAAAATTTGAAGAGAGTGCCTTACATATTGTATGAATAAGCTTTAGTTAGGAAAAAAAATGTTCTAGATTATTTATATTAGAGAAACAGCATAAAAGAGGAAGGCTTAAGTCTGATGGTGATGATGATGACAATGATGATGATAATGATAATCATCATCATTATCATCAGGCTTTAGCCTTCCTATTTTATGCTGTTGATGATGATAATGATGATCATGATGATGATAATGATGATGATAATGATGATCATCATCATCATTATAATAATGATGATTATGATAATCATGTCGATCATAATGATGTTTATATATGCATATATACACAAAATATAACATGAATTTTGAATAAAAAATGTAGTTTAGGATGTATAAATGTTTATGCAGCCCTAGTCACAAATCCAGCCCTGGCTATATTTTATCAAACAGACTGGGTCAAATATCAACCCTGGTCACTTACTAATATATATATATATATATATATATATATATATATATATATATATATATATATATATATATATATATATATATATATATATATATATACATATATATATATATATATATAGTCTTGCATGTCTCTTGCGTAGCATCAAAAAATATTTCCCATAAACTGTAGTTTTAAAGAGCGCGTTAATAAACCAGACTAGAAAAAGTTTTAAAAATTAAATTTTTTTTTTTAATTGATAGACTGCCTGGCCAAACCAAACCCTCAGTCGATGTAGCAGCACTCTCTTGCGAGTCAGGCTATTTGTCAGTCGTTGTAGCAGCACTCCCTTGCGAGTCAGGCTATTTGTCAGTCGATGTAGCAGCATTCCCTTGCGAGTCAGGCTATTTGTCAGTCGATGTAGCAGCACTCCGTTGCGAGTCAGGCTATTTGTCAGTCGATGTAGCAGCACTCTGTTGCGAGTCAGGCTATTTGTCAGTCGATGTAGCAGCACTCCGTTGCGAGTCAGGCCATAAGATAGTCGATGTAGCAACATTTACGCATGTTTAAAAAATGTTTTTTATTAAATCAATAACAAAAACACCACTAATTAAAAAAAACTTTCTAGTCGTTATAATTGCGGTTTTTTAAAAATTTTTTAAAAAACAATTAAATTTAATGTACTTCCGCATAAATTAATTGCTTTGACATTTCGATGACAATCAAAAACAGCTTAAGAGACGAGTAATTAAAATTGTAGTCGTAAGAGACTTTTTTTACATTAAAATGCTCTTAAAGCGACACTATATGAGTATATATATATATATATATATATATATATATATATATATATATATATATATATACATACATATATATATATATATATATATATATATATATATATATATATATATATATATATATATATATATATATATATATATATATAAAGTACTGGTTAAAATTATAGCACAACCTCTTAAAATTTAATTGTCATTTAATATTTTAGTTTGCATTAATCATATTGTTGAGAGGTACTTTTTGAAAAATGTTTGCATTAGTCATTTAAAATTTGCACATAAAATTAAAAATTTTGTTTATTATGCATCTTAGAAATGAAATATTTTACATACACATACAAACAATGTTGGTCAAATTTACCACTCATATTCATATGTAATTTTGACAGTGTGAATGATTAAATGCATTGATGCATTGTTGTGTACGATATTTTATTTATTTATTAGCATCATAGCTAATTATTTTTAAAATGCAAATTCTATAATTTTTTTAAAGTTTTTTCAGTAATTTTAAAATTAAAACAAAATTTATGTAGTAGGTTGCAAATCAGTGAGCTCTGAGTGGCGACAACTTATAAAAAAATTATTTCAACAGCAATTTAATAATGCTGATATTGCTATAACCAGAAAATTTGAACATGCTATAACCAGAAAATTTGAACATGCTATAACCAGATAATTTGTCTATGATAAGACTCAGAAAAAGAAGAGACTCACTTGATGTTGATTAGATTCAGAATGATTGGCATCATGTGGTATTTAGCAAAGAATCACATTTTGAAGTTATAAATAGAAAGAATCGTAAGTTTGTATGTTGTCTTCCTAATGAAAAAGATTTACAATTTAATTTTACAACAAGGGCACAAAGTGGTTGTGGAACTATTTTCTGTATGGGATGTTTCTCTGCAAATGAATTAGGTTTATTGAAGTTTTACAAAGGTTGTTTAAATGCTTTTTGTTATTTAGAAGTTATTGCTGAATTACCTGACTATATGAACACTTTTTTTGATTCTGAAACTAAACATAGTTATTTTATACAAGATAACGCACCGTGTCATAAAACAAAAAAACTCTGGAAAGGTTTGCAACGAAAAATATTCGGCTCCTAGAAAAATATTCGGCTCCTAGAATAGCCGCCCTCTTTATTAAATGCAAATCAGATCAAAAGTCTTTGGTCAGTTATTGACCAAAAACTCAAAAATTACAACATAAGCAACACTTAAAATGACTTAAAGGATGCAATTTAAAACATTTGGGACAAGACTTAAATTATTCTTTGCATTAAATCGGTAAATTCTGTTCAAGATCATATTTCTCAAAATTTTAGAGCTAAAAGATCAAACATTTCTTCATATCAAATCAAACTTTTTTTAATCTAAAATTAGTACTATGGGTTGTAATTTTAACCAGCTTATTTTTCTGTATTACTCCTAAGTGAACTTTAAAACATGTTAACTTTAAATGTATTTTAAATTTTCTCTCATTTTTGTAAAAAGGAAAATATTATTCTTCAGATAAAAAAATAATTATAACTTTTCATTCAACACTCCATTAAATTTTTATCATTCAGTTTTTATTTTACATTAGTGCTATAACTTTAACCAGTTCTTAAATAAATGTAAACTATGAGTCAGGAAAACATAATAGATATTTTTTATGTTAATTCATTTCCCCAAGGTCGAGAAGGCCACTAAAGTCAAGGAGTCTACTTTAGTTGTGGTTTCAACCCTCTCACAACTCTATAACTCCAAAACACAAATCTTGACAAGCAAGACTGCTGGGTTGAGAAACATGTTGAGCATGGTACTACCATTGATGTGGTAGAAATTGAACTCAGAACTTGTCGGTTTTAAAGTGAACGCTTGACTACTACACCACTACTAAATGGTGTACATGCAAAAAGTGTCGTTACATCAACTAAGAGTTTGGGTAAGGACAGTAATTTTTTTTCTTCTTTTTCGGAAAAATTTAAGTGAACATTTTAAAAAGCTTTTTTATAATCTGTTTTTGTATAAATAAAAAATTAAAAAGCAAAACCAGAAGATTTTTTTTTTGATTTAATTGCTGGCCTTTGCCAAATCCCTGAGCCAATTTAGCAACATTCCTTGCATGTTCTACCTATTTCAGGTGGTGTATGTACACTCTTCGTATATTGTACATATTTCTAAATAAAATTGAAATATAAAAAGTATAAAAAAATAAAAAATATAGATATCAAAATATAAAATATAATATTTTACATTAAAAAAAAAAAAAAAAAAAAGATTCAAGTTGATCAAAAATTTTTGTTGTGATTTCAAAATTAAGATAAATAAGATAATTGAGAAAAAAAAGATTAAAAAAGATAGCAATTTAATGATAATATAAAAAAATAACAAAAATTAAAAACAAGATAATTTCTACTTAAACAAAGGAGACAATCTATATAAATTAAAAAGAATTTGTATGTAGACAAAAAAGACATCCTTGTAAACAAAAGAGAATTTCTATGTAAACAAAAGAAACATTTTATGTATACAAAAGAGAACTTCTATGTAAATAAAAAATTATGAACTACAATATTACAAAATCATGAATCATGAAATTATTGAGAATAAATAATTTGTTTAGCTTCTTGACAAAATATTCCAAGCTGTCTTTTTAATTCTTCTATATTTAAATTGGTCACACATAAACGAAGGTAGTTATCATAACAACCATCACAATGAGAAGTGAACCTATTATAAAAAAATATACTATAACCATAATAATATTTATTATAAATATTTAAACTAAAATATAAAATTTAAGAAAAATATATATATTTAAAAAAAAAAATTACTTTATAATACAAAAAAATATATATACATATATTATTTTATTATTTATTATTATATATATTATCTATTTCATAATATTAACTATACAACCCATATAACTTATTTAACATTACTTTAATAAATAAATTTCGAAAAATTTCATCTCATCTTGAGTCTATTAACCTACTTTCTGACATTCAATATGTATTTTCATTTTTTTATTCTTACTTGCTTAACTGCTGTAACAGATTCTCTCTTACATTAGATGAAGGCAAGGGCTAGTGCTCTTGACATATCAAACCCTTTTGATAAAGTTTGTTAGAAAGAAATGATTCAAACGATTGAATCATTTCTTTCTAACAGTATTAGTGATCTCAAAAGCCAACACTCTTTTTCATTTCTAATAACTTCTGGGGTACAGCAATGTTCTATATTTGGTCTAGTATTATTTCTTATCATTAATGATCTAATGTAGCTGTATCTGCTGATGACTCAACTTTATACTCTTGTCTTGAGAAAAAGTCTTCACTTTTCATTTGCTTAACGCAGGCAGTCAATCACGCCATTCAATCAAACTATCCAATCAAACCATCTCCTGTCCAATACTGCATATCTTATTGGATTAACATTCAGAACAAAATTTTATGCAAAAAAAAAAAAAGCGTGTGTGTATATATATATATATACACACACACACACATATATATATACATGTGTATATGTATATGTATGTATATATATATATATATATGTGTATATATATGTGTGTGTATATATATATATATATATATATATATATATATATATATATATATATATATATATATATATATATTTATATATATATATATATATATATATATATATATATATATATATATATATATATATATATATATATATATATATATATACTGCTGTCGCATGCATATGAGAAAATAAAAAAAATATATCTTGAAAAGTTATTCTTTTTTATGACTGGTGTTCTGCTTAAAAAGATTTCTGCTGCTAATTTAGTACAGCCTTTTTTTTAATTGCGACGAAGTTTTACACCAAATTAAAGTAATTTCTAAATCATTTGTTTGAAAGCCGCAGGATTAAAACCTCCATTTTCAATAACTGTTTTGTTAGGCATATTACAACTTGTTTAGAGTTTTCTTTGTGCAACATTGCTACTAATTTTTAATTGCTTTACTAAAATTTAATTACAAGTATATAACTATTAAAAATCAAATAACAAAAAAATTTAAAAAAAGTTTTGTTTCTGAATTAATTTTTTAAATAATTTATTTTTTGTCTAAATGTGTACATCACACAGGTCAGAAATTTAAGGTTTAAGTTTGCTATCCGAGTACCCCAAAAATGTTAACAAATATAGTAAGTGGGACATCTGGACACTTCATTTTCATATTTAGAAAAATCTGGGAGGTATCACATTTTTAGAAAATCGACATAAAAAATCTGCTGAAAAAGTCATTATTTTCGTACTTAAAAAAACTAAATATATTGACGGAACAGTAAAATTAACATAAAATAACTTTATATTCCAAGTTTTTATGCTCTTAAATTTTGTATTTACACATCAACTTCATTAGACAGCTCTTAGATATATCTAAGTTGGTGAAAAAGGTTTAGATATGCTTGAATTATATTAGGAACATAGTATGCTTAGTAATGTTGAACATATTGATAAGTAATTTAGTAAAATATTAGTATTGTATGCATAGTTGCCTAATAATCTAATATATATAAATAATATTAATATAATAAATACTAAATAAAATATTTCAAAAACTGTTTATACTAATATATTTTTAATGTCTTTTTGAATAAATTTACAAATTTTTTTAACTTAAGATTGCAATAATGTTTATGTTTTGATGTACAATTAATGTTCAATAACTTATAAATTATTTGAACTGAACACTTCAGCAATTCTTTTGCTTCTTTTTTTATGTTTGTTGCTGTACTGCAAGACTCCAAACCTATTTATTACACTTTTCATCTTGGAATGGCAAGATTCAGATGTCTGCTCATTAAACTACCCAAGGGAAAGGCCACTCAAATCAACAAATATTTCCAGATGTGCTGTTACAGCATGAACTTTCCAAGTAAGCGTAAGCTGTTTACCTAAAAACTAAAAAAAGCTTACTATAAATATGTTTATCAATAACTTGGTTTTAAATACAAAGAGTAAAAAAAACAGCAATTACCTCTCGGCAATAATCTTGCGCATCCTTATAGCTTTGTGTAAAACTTTCAATTAAAATTGAATAGTTTGGGTCAAGTTTATAGCCAAAGACACTATGAAAAACCTTATTAAATTTTCTCATTGTTTCTAAGAGAGGATACAGTTCAACAGGCATTATCAACTCAAGTTTGTCGCAATTTTCAAGTATCTCTCTACACGTGTTTCCTTCAAATGTTCCTCCATGGTAACCTTTTCAAAGGCATCCAATGCTCTTGACCCAATCTATAAATCCAGGCCAAAGTTGCATTACAAATTCTGCCACATGGTTAACAAATTCCATCAGAAGGTGAAGTCCTGGTAATGGAATCTCTCTTATTATACTTAGGGATTTGTCTTCTATCTTAAGCAGACAAGGATTAATGACATTCTAAATATATGGAAATAAACTTTTTTTATCCTTTTTAAAATGATAAAATTACAATGGATGATAAATTTTGAAAATATTTACAATATATTTATTCATTTATACCTTATATTCTTTCATTCTTTTTACCGGAGATCTTGCAGATGAATACAGTTCATAGTAACTATTCAAAGATTGAAATGTTCTTAACTCTCCAGAAAATAATTCTGAAGAACCTTCACACCATGCACAAGCATACTTTCCTCCATGAGCCTAAAATTTTATATTATAATTCAATTTATAAATATATTGTAGGGTAAAAAAAACCTTTTCCTAATATAGCTTTTACCATGATATGTCTTATTATCTTAAAATTATTTAAAACAAACACGCCGAAATTCCTAGCAATATGTTGATTAACTTCATGTCAGAAGCCAATAAGTACTTGCATTCATGCAACTTTAATCTTTCCACAATCATTGTCATGTTAGAATGATTCTCACTTACCCTTTTACAATAAGCAAAAACAAGTGACGTATTTGCTCCTGAGTATGATCCTAAGGAGCTGTTATCTTCTGTCCTGTCCTTGGTTGGATCAAACAGATTTACTATAACTTTCAGTGATCCTCCACCTATAAATATATATATACTTACACACATACATATTTGTATATAAACATGTACAAATAATATTTTTAAAAACAAGTTTTCAAAAAGACGATTATTAAAATATAATAAGTAATATAAATTAAATAAATTAAATATAAATACCTGAATCTATTCCAACCTTTACAAATGTGTTTTGTGGAACCTGCCCTCGATATTTTATTACAAAATCCAGAAATGTTGTAATATCTTCAATATATACCAAGTGTCTCTTCACTGTAGCATAGTCATTTTTTTGAAAGTCTAATAATTCAGTGACATAAAAGTTGGAAAGTAGTTTACTTTTTTCATCCAGGGCTTTCTCCATGTTTGACTTAAACTTTACACCACTTCTCCTCAAAGTTTTTAACATTTCATTTGACTGCAATTGACTAAGTCCTAAGGTATTTACCAAAACTTCTACTTCATTACAAGGAATCTTTCTCTGGTCACTTTCCCGAGTACCGAGTGTAATATGAATACTTTTACCTCCATAAGGTAATATAAATTATTATTTTAAGAACGTACATAAAAGCTATTTACCTGTTCTGAGAATGGCTTGAGCTTCTAGACTTCGCTCTTGATCAGAATAAATTTCTTTAAGAAGGGAAGAAGCTACTTCTTCCCTTCTTCTTCTTTTACTTTTTTAGAAATTTTAGAAATACTCTCAGAAAGATTTGTGCTACTCTTTAAAGAGGAACATTTGTGGGGTTTACCTTTAGCAATTTCACAGAAACATATTTGGCAAAGTTTCAGTGTTGAGCTAGTTCCCTTTTTCATACTTTTATTTAATAATTTATTTCTTCCTTGACTGCATATACTGCATAATATCGAGCAACCTCTAGAGGTTTGCAAGACAAATCAGAATTTTTCCATTTTAAAGTAACTTTGTCTGCAATAGTTTTACCAGCCTTACAGAGATATAAGTTTTTCTTGCAACCTGGGCATAATCTTGTAGGGTAGGCAAATACTTTAAGTGAAAACTCAGGCTTACAGAAAACTTTTACCAGACCTTCCAAATTATTATTAACTGGAATGCATTTGTTGATCTTTTCAAGGCAGCAACAGCAAATGATCTTTTGAAAAAGTATATGATTTCTTTTAAAATGGTATTCTCTCTTCTCCTTAGAGAGCAGAGGAGCCATAGATTCAATATATTAGGTATCTTTAATAAAATTAAAATAAAAATGCATAGTCAAAAAGAAATATTTTCAATAAAAAAATGTTTTTTTGACCAACTTTGTGTATTCTAATAATGTTTATGTATAAATATTAAATTAAAGACCTTGAAGAGTTGGTATATGAAAATTTTTTTAAATAAACTTCAACTTTCTGTCAGTATAATTAGTTTTTTTAAGTACGAAAATAATGACTTTTTATCAGGGTTTAGATGTCAATTTTCTAAAAATGTGATACCTCCCAGATTTTTCTAAATATGAAAATGAAGTGTCCAGATGTCCCACTTATTATATTTGTTAACATTTTTGGGGTACTCGGATAGTAAACTTAAACCTTAAATTTCTGACCTGTGATCATAACATAACTATAATAAGAACTTTTGTATTAAACTTTCCAATCATAAATTTTTTTAAACTTTTTGATGATTAATTTTTTTAAACTTTCTGATCTTAAATAATATTCAAATAGCAATAAACATGCAAATGAACGGTTTTACCGAATAAAATAAATTAATATTAAATTTTAAAACTTAACATAATAATCGCACTAAAATTTTGGAACAACAGACATATGAAAGTTTTGTTAATTTCTGAATAAGTTAATGAGCTTTGCCCTCTTGTTATGAATGAAGTTGATAAAAATGAGAAAATGAAATGAAAAAAATAAGAATGAATTTTTTATTTAAATAAAACTTTAACTTGAAAAACAAATAATTACAATAAATAAATTATGAACTCATAACCAATATTATATACTTTGGAAGATTTAGATCGGCAGTTATATACTGTAATTAAGTAAAAATAGATTGGCTTTTGCATCAACATTGCCAAATACCAACCTGGATTTTGCTGACTGTACAAATATATTTGCTTACTGAGCTTAGCATAAAATGTTACTGATGATGTCACACTGAAATAAAAAGCTGCAGGGGCTGCAGTACATACATCAACAGAGAGTTTAAATTTAGACAGATATCATCTAGATATGACTTTTGATATAAACTCAAATCAGCATTTTTAAACTTTGATATAAACTCAAATCAGCATTTTTAACTTTAAGTATAATAGGACAGAACCAATCTAAATAGCAAGAATGATGATAAATACATACATAGATACATACATACAAAAAGCCAGCAAGAAAAGTTGACAAATATACAGTACATATATCATAAATTTCAATTAAAAAAAAAAACATAACTTATTACTTGTTGCCCTCTACAAAGTCAACACCTTTAGCATTACAGGCTTTACGTAAATCTAAAAATAAATTCTATATAAATTATTATACTTTCCTTATTACGCTAGTAAGCATCACAGCATCTAACATTAGCTTCACAGCTTCAAACATTAGCTTCACAGCTTCAAACATTAGCTTCACAGCTTCTAACAGTAATGGAGGTTCTTCTACACTTTATTTATAGCAATCAATCAATTGCAATCTTCATAAATATCAAATATTACACTTTACCCCCTTTCTAAAAAAAATTTCAAGATGTTCAGTTGGTTGTTGTGAATGTTTTTTGATCTAAAGTTATAAACTATTAATCAAAGCTGGATTTGCTAATGAATGAATGAAGATGTCAAAAATTCTTTTACATTTAATTTTTATCATTGTTTGTTTGATACTGAGTCATTCTGTGTGAAACCACCTAGTTTTAGTGCCCTATACTACCACCTCAGATTTGCTTTAAATTTTGACCACCTGCAGATTTTATGAAAAGCAAAAATACACAACTAGAAAAATTCAGTTCAAAATTAATATGATTTATAAGCAGAAAAAATTTAAGTGGAGCTTACAGTAATTGTTTTTTGATTTTTGAGAGATAATAACTTTGTAAATAAAAAAGGTAAAAATTTGTAAAGTAAATAATATTCACTTCTACAGATTATATTCAATTTTAATTAATTAAATATAATCATTCAACTCCAAATAAATATAACCAGCTTTTCCTTTAATGATATAAGCAATGTCTCGATTCAATTTATCCATATAATGGATATGATTATGTATATATCCATATAATGGATATGAATATGTCTAAAACATAATCATCCTTTAAACAATAGCAGAAGGATTAAAAAGAAAAGAAAATGTAAAGAGTTTAAGTTTTCAAAGGATAAGATACACTTTTAAACTAATTTAGAATTGTTTTTACCATGAAAAAGTAAATATTACTAGATCTAAAGTATAATACATTAAAAAGATATATATATATTAAGATATATTAAAAAAAAATATTACTAGATCTAAAGCAATTAAAAAATACTCTTGTGATCCAATTTAAGGGTAACAGGAATCGAAAAATGAATTTCGAAATAGTGTAAAATATATTAAAAAGGCCTGTTGCAAAAACAAAAAGAATAGTGTTGCAAATGAATTTAATTAATAGTGCCAAAAACAAAAACAAAAAGAATAGTGTTGTAAATGAATTATTGAATAGTGTCAAAAACAAAACAAAAAAGGAATAGGGTCGTAATTAGTAATTATGTCGCAAATAGTAAAAACAGAATTTTGTCCCAAATAGCTAATATATGAATATATGTGAATAAATATATCTACTATAGCATATATAAATCAGCAATTGTTTACTTGTTTTGCTTATCTTACAGAAGGAAAAAAAAAGAGAAAAAAACAAAAAATAATGAAAATTGTTTACTTGTTTTGCTTTTACAGAAGGAAAAAAAAGAGAAAAAAACAAAAAATAATGAAAGAAAAGATTGCTACCCAACTCGAAATTTTCAGTCAATATAGAGGCACTACTTTGTGGCAACAGGCTATAATATAGTTGGTGAATGTACTAAAGCTGCCGACAGCAGGCTATTTCAGTATGACGTCAGACATGTTATCTAAACACACATTTATAGTTAATAGTATTTTTTTATTTTTGCACTATTCATTAAACTCCTTTACAACATTCCGTTTTCTATTTTTATTCATTAAATTCATTTTTGTCACACTACTTAATTAATCTCAGCAAGTTAACTTACAAGTCTAAAATTTTGTACTAACTGTATGAGTAAATTTTGAGAAAAGAGAGTTATTCAGATCTTGATAAGAAAATTTTAAATAAGAGGGTGTCTTTATTAGAAATATCTCCTATCAAAAATTTTAACAATTGTGATAAATTAGGAAATAGAAAGCAAAACATTAAAAAACTGGAAACTATAACAAACTTAGTAGCAACCCAGATGATAATATATTAGAAAAATGGCAAAAGTATATAAACTATAATTAAAAACATTTTTTAGATGTAGTCGTAAATTTTTAATAAAAGTATATTAACTATAAAAACTATATTAACTATATAAACTATAATCAAAGACAATTTTTTAGATGCAGTAAAGAAATAAATAAGAAAGAACAAAATAAAGTGAAAATAAAGCAGATGTGGTGCGTCAACATTGAGTCATCACCTTTAACTTCACTGAATCTTTGTTTTTAGGTTTTTTAAACTTCAGATATATTTTTTTAAAGTTCAGATAACTGTTTAGATGGAAAAAAATACCAAGGGTGTAACATATTTTATTTTTCAAGTGATAATATCAATAACCTGGAAACTTAATTTAACTTCCAGAAATAATATATGAAAGGATGCACACATTCCTGGGTAAAACTTTTGCCAGATAAAGAGAAGCTGTTTTTACAGAGAATCTCTAGCCATTGAGTTTATGATATTTTTTTGCTCTATAATAATAACTTGTTAGGGGTTGCCTCATACATTAAATGGGTCCTGAATATCATAATAAAACAAGTATTTTGAAAGTATGCGCGAAGTATGACATTAGGTCTCAAACGAAGTGAAATTATATATAACTTATTTCAAAAATAATCATCCTTTTATTAAAAAATATTAGGAAAATTATAATCAAAAAATTTTGTTGAATTCCTTTTTTTCATTTTTAGTTAACATGTTATTTTCTGTTTATATATATATATATATATATATATAAATATATATATATATATATATATATATATATATATATATATATATATATATATATATATATATATATATATATATATATATATATAAATATATATATATATACATATACATATACATATATATATATACATACATACATACACACACACACACACACACACACACACACACACACACACACACACACACACACACATATATATATATATATATATAGTAAATTTTTTAGCGGTTCTCATTGACAAGAACTTTTGATCTTCTACGAGTTCCAATGTTTTTTTATTTCTTAATAACAATCATGTATATATATATATATATATATATATATATATATATATATATATATATATATATATATATATATATATATATATATACATAGTTAACAAATATTTATTAAATTACAAAGTTGTAAAATTAAAGAACAAAAAATATATATATATATATATATATATATATATATATATATATATATATATATATATATATATATATATATATATATAAATACATATATACACACACACACACATATATATACACGCTCGCCCACACGCACGCCAATACTACGGCTGGCGCTTTTTTAAGCGCTCGCCAAAAAATTTCAAACATGTTTTTAAATTGCAATAAATCTTCTTTCTTAATCAAATTCTAATTAATGAGGTACAAAAAACAAATATTTTTTAAAATCACGCACGCCTGAGAAATAATTACTGTCTAGCCAGCACTTTTTCATGTGCTGGTGGTAAATTTCAAACAGAGAAGACTGATTATATATATATTTACCCAGGTCATTCCCTGATAGTGTAACGCAGACATACCGTTTTTTAATCATGCTGAAGTTATTTTATTTTAAAAGCGTGTTAATTTCTTAAAAAACATAATGCATCAAAATATTTTAATTTTATTAACTTATTGAGTTACAGTATTGTGTGTTATAGTTATAATAACAAATTTGATCACGATGCCTGCACTCTGGGTTCAATTTCTATTGAAGTTTATTTTCGTTTTTTTAATAATATTTTTTTATTAATTAACTAATTGATGCTAATATATTAACAAAAATAAATATTAATATAATAAAAGACACGGTGGTTAATAAATAGATGAGTAATTCAGTTAATAAATAACATATATGCACATAACATTCTTGCTTTTAAAGAAAAACATTATTAATGTTCTTACTCTTGAGTCCGTAATACAAAGGGGGCAGGAATAAAAGGAGGGGGTGGAAATTTTATTCTAGACTAATAAACAGGGGAGGCAGGGAGTTAATAAAAGGGGGAGTGGAAATTTTTATATGATATAATATAGGTTTTTTTTTATAAAAAAGTTGAGTTTATAAACCAGAACTAATATTTTTACAAAACACGCATAAAACTATTTAATTCTAGCGTGGCTTGTGGTCAAATGCGCATTTTTGAACAGCTGTTTTAGCATAATTCCAATAGGATTTAATATGCTGAATTAAGATTTACTAGGTCGGCGATATTTAAAACCTGTTTACATTGTAAGTTTTTGATTTTATTAATGACTGAAAGAATTATTTTCTAATTTTTAAGGCCAATTTTCACTGATTTTTTGTTTTTAGTTTTAAAAATTAATAAACAGGGGGAGGGTTTTTAATAAGCTTGGGGTGGGTGGGAAAATTTTTCAAAAATGAATAAAGTTCCCTCCGCTCTTATTAGGGACTCAAAAGTAATATAGTTTATAAAAAAAAATTTTAATGAAATTTTTCAACTTAGTATTGTTTATTTTTAACATTTGTTTTGTCATTTAAATTTTTAAAAATTTTTTTTCACTTATAAACACTCATTAGGTATGCTTAATAAATATAAGTTTTAATTGCCTTCATCGCCTTCACTTCTTAAAATAGTTATCATTTAAAAGTGTAAAAGTTGCTAAAAACAGACGCCCATGAATTTTCTAATATATGTATATGTATATATATATATATATATATATATATATATATATATATATATATATATATATATATATATATATATATATATATATATATATATATATATATTTATGTTAATAATAATGCTAAAAGAAGCAAAAAAGACTAAATTATTCACTAAAAAATCTTGCCAGAAATAAATTAGAATCTATTTAATGAATATATCTAAAAAGAATTAAATTAAAAAATTAAATTAAAAAATTTCTCATGTTTTGCCACAAAAATCATTTCATAAATTATTACGGGTGTCTGTATTCATTTGGTATGTCTCTTTCAATTTCTGGTATATCAATTTCTATTAAATTCTTGTAAAAACAGTTCTTTTTTACCTCATCGAGCTAGATAAATAATAGGTTTAGTGTGCCAATTGATAAATAATAGGTTTAGTGTGCCAATTGATAAATAATAGGTTTAGTGTGCCAATTGATAAATAATAGGTTTAGTGTGCCAATTGATAAATAATAGGTTTAGTGTGCCAATTGATAAATAATAGGTTTAGTGTGCCAATTGCAAGATTTTAAACTTTTGAACTAAGTCTCCTCTTATTCTACAAATCTTCATTTTCTGAATTTAAAACAAGATACATCTCTCTGAGTAACCAAGATGTTTGGATATGCTCAGTACTTTTGTGGATCACCTTGTCTAAAAGTGAAAGGGTATCATTGGAAAACTGCCTCAGATATGGCATCAGTATTCCATACAAGGATAGATTTGAGATTTATAAAGATAAAGAATAGAATCTGGAGTTAGAAGTGGCGAGCACAATAAAAAGATGCAATCTTAGCAGACCTTAATTTTGCAATTGATATTGAGTTAATTTTAGAAGATGAAGGATAGATGACTCGTTGGGTACATTACCACTCATAAATATAGGAAGATCTAGATTATTGCAAAAACGATTAGCTGAAAAAAAATTGAGTTTTATTTGAATTAAAGTTCACCAGCCACTGAGAGCCCTATGCTGTAGCAGAAGTGAGATCCTTTTCAAGCTCAAATGCCCACTCTAAAAAAATCAGAGAGTGTTGGCTTCTTATCAAGACAGAAATAAACGGAAGTATCATAAGCAAACAATGCCACCTTAGATGTGAGAATATCTGAAAGATTGTTAATTTAAATTAAAAAACTATATGGCCAAAGATAGAATCTTGAGCAACCCCTGAAGTTACAAGATATAAAGAAGAGTGCTGTCAACTGAGGACAACTTTTAAAATACAACTAGTAAGAAAGGATTCAATAATCTTAAAAATGTTACCTGGTACACCATAAGATAAAAGATTATGGAGAAGACCAGCATGCTAAACTTTATCAAAAGCTTTAGAAATGCCATGAGCGATAGCCTTAACTTCTCCACATCTATCTAATGCATGATAAACCTATCAGTTATTACTGTTAGCAAATCAGCTGTAGAACAAGAAGATTAAAATCTATATTGATGATCAGAAAGTAAAATATAAGATTCAAGATAAAAGCTTAAATAAAGATTTGAATAATGTTTGTTAAACAAAGATTCAAAAACCTTGCTGAAGATAGGAAGAAGACTAATGGTAGTTAGATGAGTCAGATTGCTCTCCAGACTTTTTGAAAATAGGGATAACAGATGCTGCTTTCCAGCAGACTGGAAAACAAATCTCTGTTCTGCAAAACTATAACAGGTATGTTGACCACAAGCTGTAGAAGAGTCTAAGCAGGAAATCACCTTAGATACAAAAACTGGAAGGATGCAAATGTCAAGCAATTGATCAACCTGTTTGTTGGCTCTATCAGGTAGAACGTAACTATTGGAATCAAGAGATAATATTGATGAAAACATATATAACAAAAATATATATAACAAAAACATATAAAGGGCACAACAAATAGTTTTCTTTGAATAAACATTGATGTTTGTATCTTTATTTATTGAAGAACATCCAACTTAAAAGATATACATCAAATAAGCCAGTTTTAATTTCAATTCTTTCAATTTTTTATTAAATTATAAGAGAGTTTTACTTTCAAATAGCTTTTACTTTAGTTAATAAGTTATAGGATATATAAAAGATGTTTATTAAATTTTATCTATTTTTTATTAATTCAAAATATTTTTTCACGCATTTGCAAGGTGTCCACAAAATAATGATAACTAATATACAATAACCATATGATTTTAAACTGTTATCCATTATTAAAATAATAAAAAATAAAAAACTATATTAAAAATAATAGTTCTATATCTATTTAATTTTCAGCATAACTTGAAAGATCTTTTTAAAACTTTTAAAAAGTGTTTTTAGTATGCAAACAAACATTACTTAACTTTAATGATAATAAGAAAACTTAAAAAAAGCGCACTTTTAAAGAAAGCAATATTTTAGCATGGTTTCTTTTAAAGTAATTGCAAATGCATTTATTTTAACTAAAATTTTGCATGCTTTCGAAAACACATGTACACCATGCTAAAACATAATTTTTTTCTTCAGTTGCGTACTTAGTTATTTAACTTAAAAGTAATTCTATTGAAGAAAGTAAACATGTTTTAGCATTTAGCATTTTTTAACAAACGTTTGCATGTTCGTTGATTTGTTGTACCCCGATATCAAAAATATATTTACTGAAATAAACTTTTTTTCTTTTTCCTAAAGTCTTTTTCTTTTGTGACCCCATTGTGTCCCCTAATAATTTTTCGACCTTTTTTTACTAAAACTAAAAGTTTGAAGAAAGAAGGAAGGATGGTAACAGAGTTTAATGTTGACAGTAGGGCGGGGGGGGGAAGGGGGGGAGAAAGATTAAAGAGTGTCAAAAGTTCACAAAAATATTAAGTGTGTGGTTGTGGAAGTCTGCATATATATATATCCACATATATACACAAACACAAGCAAAACATATATCTAAATATAAATTACTTAATACAATAATAGATTCATATGTACTATGGGTTAAATAACCTTAATGGTTTGTGAGCTTTAATATTATTGTAAATAAATAATGAGAAAATAACCTTTTGAGTTGATGTTTTTAGGAAGCTCAATCCATAGAAAAAATGAGCACTAAAATAGATAAGTTTACACAATAACAGTAATAATAATTATATATATATATATATATATATATATATATATATATATATATATATATATATATATATATATATATATATATATATATATATATATACATTTATATATATATATATACATATATATATATATATATATATATATATATATATATATATATATATATATACATATATATATATATACACATATATATAATATATAACCCAACTTCTCAGTTGATGTATGTATACCACTGATTTATGATGTATAAATATGTATGCATATATATGTATGTATATATATATATATATATATATATATATATATATATATATATATATCCGCGCCGAGATTTTTATTCAACACTTTTTAATTTAAATTACTTTAAATCTCTGTGTAGAAGCAAATTAAAAAGACAAAAGTTAAAAATAATTTTTCTTCATTCTATTTTTTTAACAAAACAGCATTTTTATCTTTTTTTAAAAGAAACGTTGCTCTAAATTAACTTAATAATAATGATTTAAATTATTATTTTATAAACAATTTTGTATAATTATTTTTACTACTTTAAGTATATTAAAATATATATAAATTCGTTTTTATTAAATAAAATTTCTATTAGTAAAATTGTGCTAAAAAAAACCAGCAACTTTTTTGCTTTCACGACCTTGAAACTATTTAAGTTATATTTAGTTAACTTTACTGAATGGATA